GGCGGACGAAAAGAGCAACACGACCCAGCAACATGTGCTTGCAATGCAGAAAGCCAACTGTATCCTGGGCTGCATCAAAAACAGCGTGACCAACAGGTCAGGGGAGGTGATTCTCCCCCTCTGCTCTCCTGCTCTCTCTAGGCCCCACCTAGAGTACTGTGTTCAGCTCTGGAGTCCCCAACAGGACACAGAGCTTTTGGAGTGAGTCCAGAGGAGGGCCAACAGGTCAGGGGAGGTGATTCTCCCCCTCTGCTCTCCTGCTCTCTCTAGGCCCCACCTAGAGTACTGTGTTCAGCTCTGGAGTCCCCAACAGGACACAGAGCTTTTGGAGTGAGTCCAGAGGAGGGCCACGAAGATGATCAGAGGGCTGGAGCACCTCTCCGATGAGGACAGGCTGAGAGAGTTGGGGTGGTTCAGCCTGGAGCAGAGAAGGCTCCGGGGAGACCTTATTGGAGCTTTCCAGTACCTGAAGGGGACCTACAGGAAAGATGGGGAGGGGCTCTTTACAAGGGCATGCAGTGATAGGACAAGGGGTAATGGGTTTAAGCTGAAGGATGGTAGATTTAGATTAGATATTGGAAAGAAATTCTCTACTGTGAGGTTGGTGAGACAATGGAACAGGTTGCCCAGAGAAGCTGTGGATGCCCCCTCAGGCAGTGTTCAAGGCCAGGTTGGATGGGTCTTTGGGCAACCTGGTCTGGTGGAGGGTGTCCCTGCCCATGGCAGGGGGGTTGGAATTAGATCATCTTTAAGGTCCTTTCCAACCCAAATCATTCTATGATTCCATGATTACAAGATAAGGGCTTTTGGCATCAGCCCCTACCATGTCATATCCTGCTATCATTTCCTGCTACAACAGTACATTATGTGAGAAAAACAGGTTAAACTAAAGAGCACCAAAAGCTTTCTCCTTTAAAAGTTAAACGTGAACAGTAGCAATGCAAGCTTTCGTTGTGTTTGTTACAAACAGAGCTAGGCCTAGAACGGTAAAGGTAGTCTTCTCTGTAATCTAGTTAAGTCACCAACTTATCAGTTGAAGCAATCAGCAAATTCTAATTTCTTGTAACAGACTTTCAGGATATGCATGTACAATCAGCCTACAGCACACTGACTAGTTTGTGACAGCTTAAAGACTTTTTTTTCTCTCCACAGACTCCAACCTTACCAGGAGGCTTTTCTATCTTATTTTGTACACAATTAAAACTAGCCTTAAGTAATCTCTCAAAGGGACTACATATTAAGAACTTAACACAGAAAGTTAGATGATACAAAAACGCATACATATTTTGTTATGATCAGTGCTCATCCTACAAATATATTTTTAGAATGCCTTGATTTACTGACCCTGCAAAATGAGGACTTTGATAAAGAAAATCATGATGATGTTCAGTGTGCTGAATTGTACACAATCTGTAGTATTAAGAGGTATTACACGAGATAGAATATACACAAGCCTTGATATCAAATGGAAAGACAAACAGTACTAATAGGAGAGGATGTGGAGGCACAGAGACTTCTTGCAAAGTAGTGAAATTGGACTAGCCAAAGACAATTGTTATACACATGAAAACAGAAGAGATGGGTGGGTACCTTAATTAACTGCTCTGAGGGAAGGGAAGTGAAAAATAGGTGTGTGAGCTTCTGTTGTGAACAATACACTAAGCATAAAGTGTACACAGACAAAACACGACTTTCTAGTTCTTAATGTGAAAAACAAAATCTTACTCATCTACAGCTTGGAAGGAAAATCCAAAAAGAAACATCAATTACCTTTTAAAAAATTGCCTTAAAGAAAAATATATGGCTCTTTGGGCCACAGTGTAATCAGAAGCTCCTCAAAACAAACTGCCACTCAATCACCGCCAAATTCTGATAATCCCGAATAGTGTATCACAGAGAAGATGCAGCTATTAGAAAAGTATGTTGAAAGTTACTTCAGTAATAGTAAGTGCTGTACAGTACATGGTTCTAGCAGAGACATTCAGCTATACTACCACTTAGTGAGTTATAAGCTCAAAATTCTGACTGGTGTCTGTTGTAATTTTAACTAGTATGACAGACAAAATGTATGAAATCAAACTGATTTAAGTAAGTTCTAGCACACAGTGCTTAAAGATGGGAGAGATAAAAACAAAATGAGAACGCAACCAGTACAATTATAACTATCAAAAACTATAAGAATAGTTCAACTTACTCTTTTACTGAGGCAGATAACTGGCCACATACTACAACCTAAAGTGCAGCAGCAGCAAAGGCATCCACAAAGTAGCCATCGTACATTAACTGGAAGGTTCTTCTTAAGACAACTGTTAACTCTACTGATGCTGGCTTTAAATTCTTCGGGTGCAACCTACAAGGGGGGGGGGAAAGAAAACAAAACCAAAAAACTAGTACCACAGCAGTGCGATCTATTACTCTTACAATGGACTATACCTGGAACTCTTGTTTTTGTAATATAATCTTAACTCTAATTCCAAATTCCTACACACAGATACTCACCTTTCCAGTTAAAGATGAAGGAAATTCTGCTTCAAATTTGTTGCTTAGTCCAAACCTGCAAAAACAAAATGAAAATCATACCAAAATTATCAATAACCTAAATCCATGCCACAACTTACAAACACCTCGTAACACTCTCAGGGTCCATATCAGAAAGGCATTAATTTCAGGAAAAATAGTTGGTATTAAAAGTAATTCCTAAAATTATGCTAACAGAGAGAAGTACACCACTATACACAGTTTGAAATCCACCTTGCTTATAGTCTCCTCAAAGTTCTGTGGATACTATCAACTCTTTCATCAGCAAAATATTTATAAGCAATAGTGTGAAGTGTAATAAATGAAGAGAAGTATGTAAAGGGGGAGAGGAAGTAAGTTAATGTCACAGTTTGAATTACCACCACTCGCCTCCTCCACCAGTACAGATCTATCTTGAAGAAAAGCTCATCCAGTGCTACTCCACTCAGGCCCTGCTAAGTAACTGTTCTAAGCATAATCAATACCAGCTTGTTTATTCAGAAAAAAGTACACTAGTAAGTTTCAGAACACAAAATGCTACCTAACAAAACATGATTTAAATGCTAACTAATTTGAAAGAAACATACAGATTGCAAATGTAAAGCTACGAAGGGGTTTGAGATAGGCTGGAGTTACTGACAATTCTGGGTTTCAGAAGAACTAAAGATTAGAAGAGTTTCACCTCGTCTATAAAAAAAAAATGTTTTCTATCTTACAGTTGGCTGGTTGGGTTCAGGAATGTATGAACCTCAAAGAAAATCTGAATATTTTATGGCATCCAGTCTGGGCAATAACTTCTAATAGGGACTACACAGTCTAACAAAGCCATTAATAAAACCATATGACTGGCTACTAATTTGGTAAACAGCAGTGTAGTTTCATTTGTCATTAATAACCTTCTGAATATAAACCAAAGTAGTCTTACTATCAGATACTACAAACAACCCAAATCAGAAATTAAACTGCTCAAGACTTGAATACCGGCAGCAAGATCTATCACACACAGCTCAGTTGTGTGCACAAAAGTTTACCTGAGCCTTGAGAGTTGAAGAATTTAAAGACATAATTTGCTTTGACAGTATGTTTATTGAGCAGCTAAGCATTTCTTATGGTTGGTATATTTTTTTCTTACTGAACTGAATGATCTGATGCCAATGGAGAACCTTGTCCAAGTACTCAAATAGGCAGTTAAGTGCTGTACCAATGGTGAGCCACTGTGGAAAGACCTCACGAAACCCAGTGAACAAGAGGTGGCAGATGAGCTTCTGTGTAGATAAATAAGAGGTGCTGAATCTTGGGAAAGTTAAACTATGCTTATGCAACACTCAACTAAAGTTTGGCAGCTACAATTCACGAGAGAGATCTTTTATCACCACTCATGATTCTCTTAACACCAGCTCAATGCAAGCAGCAGGCACCACAAATGGGAATAAAATGCTGGGCACCACTACATTACATTAAGGTGATTAAGAACAAACAGAGAAGACATCATTTTCATTCTCCATAAAACCCTCATATACTCACATATTCAGTACTGGGTGCAGTTCTGGCCTCCACATTTCATGGAAGACTTGGTCAAGTTAAGAGAAAGCAGAGAGAAGGAAGAGTAATATAATTAAGGGAATAAAGCAGCTGCCTTAGGAAGCTAACAAGGCTGACACTACTTTGGAAAAGAAAGCTGAGGGGGGTATATGATCAAAGTGCAAAGATTCAGAAAGGCAGTGGATAAGGTGAATGATTAACTGCTAATCACCAAAGCCCACAACAGAGGGCACTCACTGAAACTAGTAGGAAATTGGTTTAAAACAGATAAAAAAAAATACTTTAAGCTGCAAGTAGCAAGGTTTGTTTCCACTTGAGATTAGTGACACATCTGTGCCAACAGATTTGAAGAGAGATTACACAAGTTCCCTCACAAAGAGACGCTAAAGGAAAGATGATGTTGAAGTACACATCACCTCACACAACTGCAGATGCCAGAGAGTACGAGCAGAATGGACACCAGGAACAGCTAGACTTGCATGCAACCCATAAGTAACAATGCCTATTGCCACAGTTTGCAACAGCATGCTGGGTTAGACAGTTTATGAACTTGACGCTGCAGGTGACTTTTACATACGGTCTTAAGGAAAAGTAAACAAGTCATCTCCCTACTATTGACTGCAGGCAGTAGAATCACAGAATGGTCTGGGTTGGAAGGGACTTCAAAGATCATCTAGTCCAACCACCCTGTCAGGGGCAGGGACATCTTCCACTAAATCAGGTCGCTCAGTGCCCTTTCCAACCAGACCACACTTTCAATAATGGGGCATCCACAACTTTCCTTGGGCAATCTGTTCCAGTGTCACACCACCCTCATCATAACACTTCTTCCTTATAGTCACTCTAAATCTACCCTCTTTCTGTTTAAAACCATTGCCCTTTGTCCTGTCACTACACGCCCTAGAAAAAGTCTTTCACCATCTTTCTTATAAGACTCCTTTACATATTGAAAGGCTGCAAAAAGGTCTCCCCATACACCTTACTTACACATAAGTTACCTAGCATATCTGAGTATTTGTAATTAGAATAGTAAGTCTGCAACTCTTACAAATCCCTCAACACTAGGGAAGTAACAAATGAAAATTGTTAACCAGAGAAATATATGGCAAATTTACCAGTTCAACACAGAACAAAGAAAACCCATACATATTGGAAACCCATACATATTTTCTACCACTGAAAATCTTGTTGAATACTCCATGCAGGAGGACCATCCACCCTTCCCCCAAAATCCTGAGTGAAAGCAAGTGCTGAGGCAAAAGATATGTAAACATCAGAAAGAAGTGTCATGCCCAATCAGTTAAGCTACTTAAAATTGCCAGTAGGTTGAAGTGGGAACCAAAGCCTGAAAACCCTTGGATCCATATACATTTCATAAGCAGCCAAGCCTGGAGAAGGACTCTATGCTCAGGATACAGAACTGCCACCAGAAGTCTCAAAACTAAAAGGTAACACCACTTTACTATGTAATTAATTAATCTAATCAACATCAGAGACAGATGTCTAAAAGATACATCTCTTCAAAGAACAATCTTCATGTACTTGATGCTTCAGCATCCAGGAGAGATTTACTATGAATGATGGAATTAAATATAAATTTGAGCGATAAGTGAGTGGCAAAGTACAAGGATAATTCAGTCCAAAGCAGCTCTTGTTGCAAGAACTAAACCAAAGCTGATCCCCAGACCAACAGATGAGACAGAATTTCAGCTGTCCCTCTACCCAGAATATTAAGGAAGTCCTTTACTCCAAGGCATGAGGTAAGGCAAAGGCAAAAGCAGAAGGAAGTCTCCTTGCTCTCAGTTAAGTCACAAAAAGATGTAATTGCAGGGAAAGCCCTGCTCAGTCTCATGCTAAAGCCTGGCTGGGAAATCAGGAGGACAGAAACAAGGCTTTTTTTGTGAATGCATGATCCAAAAGTATTCGAATGCCGACAGCTTCATCAAACACAAGCACATATTCGTGGAGATCGCAAAAGCCATGCCTGACAAAAACAACCCTACTGGCAAAGCTCTAGAGGTATCTGAATTTACAAACATGCTGAGACACAGAAACTTCTGATCAGTACAGTTACACTTTGGTGAAGTTATAAGCATATGAGACTGAGACTGCGTACTCAAGGCTTGCAGTAACATTTAATACATTGGTGGGGTAGTGAAACTGAAACATCAAAGCTAACTCTAACAGCTACCGACATCATTCTGGGCTTTCTATATTACATATTTGTCACCATACGCAGGTAGTAAAAAAGGGTGAGTCCATGCATTGAAAGCTTTGGTAAGTAATTATGTGATCTCAGTATTATCACTCTTGACTGCATACTGCAATTTGGAAGTTAAAAGATTAGGAACTCCGCAGAACACTAGCACATATTCACTGTAAAGACACAACAGCTCTGACAAAAAAGCAGCAAAAAGTGTCTTAAAAATCAAACACTGGAAATCAGTATTTTAGAGATGCATTTCCTCAGACAGCTGTCCTCATATAGCATGAGATTTCTTTTGTGCAATACTCCATCTTCAGTGACATGTACTCTTCTCTGCTTGCTGTATGTCTTTCCCATTCTACATCATGTCTTCAAGAGATCCATGCTCACCTCATGCATGACTACTTCCTTTAACCTTCTCGGAACCTGCAAAAATATTTCTTGAACATGTGTCTGCTTGAAAGGTTTAACTGATTCCCTGCCCTTGTGTACAGTGAAGAAAGAAACGGTGAGAGGTGGAAACTTCAAAGTGTAGAAGTTTACAGGATAGAACACAGCCAACCTGCAACCTTTTGTCAGCCTGCAGCTCAGATCTTCTGAAAATATAAAAGTGACACACACTATCCGCTTCCTCTTTGTCCTCTCTTATGGGGACAGGAAACCATTTTTTCATTGCTCTCAACTAGAGCACCCATTCACAACCCTTACAAAATAAATACATATTCCACAAATCTTAAGACTCTCCATCCATAATTCTTACATAGCCTTGTTTTTACTCATATGTCCTTGATACAGAGTAAAGTTCAAAAACACTTAAGCAGACTTAATATTAAAAAAACTGACTTGAGTGAAAATACATTTTGTGAGGTTTTTCCTCCTCTCCAAACAGTTATCTTGCATCAACACAGGATGCACTAAGATGACAAACAGCACAGAAAGAAATTCACTAACACAGCACAACAGCTCTCCATCACTCAGGCACTGCAAAAGACTAATAAATCCAGTATTAGTGGCTAATACAGTCTGGTATACATAAGGCACATGTCTCAACTGCTCAAGGAACAGAAAAGCCCAGGAAAACAGTCACTGAAAAATACAGACAACCTATCACAAATATTCTCTTCACGATTTCAAACTAATCATGTATCTCTCTTTGCACCCTAATATGATTTTAGAAGCAAGTAAGAAATACCTTGGATTTTCAATTCAGTTGTAAGTAAAGTTCTATATTTTCCCAGCTTTCAAATCTCTTGCCATTAGAAGAGATCACCTCAAGTAATCAGAGACCA